AGTCTTGATTTTTCTTGATTTCTAATGTGACAAACATGCACCTAATGTGTAATAACACACTAATAAATCTATAATTTCCATGTACAACTTTTCTACATCAAAATAAAAATATCTAAGTCTAAATATATCTACTTGTATTAAGTCATTCTACATGATTAAACGCCAAAATGACAGTATCCATCTGATGTTAATGCTGTATGAATTCATCAAAAACTTACCCAATAAATGAAGACTTGTGGCTCGGTAAAATGTGTTAGGAGGGTGGGTAGGGAAATGTGAACTGGAATCTTCACTGTGCATCATTTTATAGAGCTGTTTACCTCCTCCGCCTTTTGGCCAAAGAAACACACCCACACCAGAGTGCTCATTTGTTTACAGGGGATTGAGAGTGACTTTTAATTTTGGGGGGAGGTTATGTTAAGTCTAAAGACACTGTCAGTGTGTAATGTGTATACACTGTAACATAGGGTACAAGTGTGAGGAGATTTCCAAACTTTAGTTTACTGGTAGGCCTTTTATAAAGAGGCTAAAATATGTTTTGCTGCAAACCCCCATTTACAGCAATGCATTACTGAGCTCCTGTGGTGCTACTCCCATCTGCTTCTCCAAACAGGGAGAGTGCCGACGGCCATCTACTGTACATAATACACTGACTATATCTGAGTAGCTCATACAGCCTCATTTAGGAAAATCCAAACTATCCCTTTAAAGTAAGATAATGACCATCCCCACACAGCTGGGGTGTCCACGACCTTCCCTGAGGACGAAGGTATCTCTGTGGTGTACTGATTGAGTCTGTGGTCTCCTGACCTAAACCCAATCCTGCATGTCTGGGACATGCTATCCAGGTGTGTTAGAGGCTGAGAGAGCATCCTTCATGGAGGAGTTGGAAAAGGTTGCTGGGGAAAGGGACGTCTGAAGCACCTTGATTAGCCTGCTGGCCCAACTACTTGGTTCCAGATAAGCAGTGGATGGATGGATGGATGGATGGATGGATGGATGACTGACTGACTGACTGACTGACTGACTGACTGACGTTTCTTAAGGGTCAAATTGTTTTAATGCTTCACTGTTTCTTGGATACCATCTCTAAATGAGCAAATGTAACCACCCACTGTGCTACTGTGGCAATACCATACTGGTGACATGAAACAACATTTAAATTAAATCTATTCATTTAGTTTTACTGAGTAGTGTACATTTGTCTGAATGTATTCAAACTTGAAGCAAACGAAATGTTTTGCTTTCTCAATTTTTCCCAAATTAAACATGTAGTGTCATGTTTGACGCTGACAGTTCTTCATATTCCTTCATGTTTGTCTGATGTATAAAACAATAAATCAGCAAAATGTACATTTTGACATTGATGTTAAAACCTACAATATATATTGATGCTTTGGATGAACGCAAATCAACATTGTGTGTGTTGTTTCTGTCTGACGTTCTTTGGAAACATGTTTCTTCCACTGTATTCAGTGTTTGCAACAGGATCTACCCATATTAAAATAAATGATAGAGGCCTCTGTGTCCATCCAAAAGCTAAAAACACCAGTTCCCTGTTTCCACGAACTTCATGCAAATCCAAGTTCAGAAACCTAACAGTGAGGAGGTTTTTTCAGTCCTACAGGATGCAAATATCTGCTCTCTGGGTGATGTTTATTAGTTATCAAGAAGAGAATGTAAATGTATTGGCTTTGTCAGCAGCGTACATGAGACAATGCTCCTTTTGTTGAAGGTGCTCGTTGTACAGGAAAGCTGCTGAGGTCACAGTCTTGTTGACATTAAAGTCTTTTTAAAGAGAGACCTGGTCAAGAAGGCAGCATTAAATATTGTTACAACATGAATACACAAACAACATAAACAGGTAGTGACAACTGTCCCACAACAACTGGGTATACAACAAAAATGAGATTTAATTTGTAAAACAGGTTTCAATATGTATCTAAAATAAGGGAAAACTATAAATTAGATGAAAAAGCACAAAATTTTTTGAATGTGCTATTTAAAAGACAAATCCATATAAATCCATACACCTAACTAATTGACACCATTTGACTTTGGGCAGTGGAGAGTCAATGAGCTGGTTAACACGATGGACCTTAAGTATGATTCAGTAATAAAGTGCAATGTATTCATCATGTTACAAACCAGTACTCAATGTCAGTAGACTACATGTGAGGTGATTACCATGGGACTACAGTAGAGACTCCAGCCTGTAAACATACATTTATTATTTATATTTCAGGTCCTCAAATGGGTTTTGCAGGTGTGGTTTGTTACAACAATGTAGCCTATAAGGATGATCTGTGGGGGCCCAATATTATATTCTTTCATGGGGTCTAAAATCTCTGGCAGCACCCCTGGTTGCGACATGCACAAACTCTCAGTGTCACCTCTTTGATGCAGGTCTCCGGTTCTACCAGAAACACAAAAGCTGGATTGATGCCCTGCAGCACTGCCACAACAAGAACTCCACCCTGGTTCAAATCACCAACCAGCGAGTGCAGGACGCAGTGAACTCTGTCCTACAAAATAAGAGCGGCTTGGATGGTGGAGTGTGGATCGGCCTGGAGCGCTCCATCTTTGGTGTAAACGTCCCCTGGCAGTGGATTTCAGGGGAAAGAGTAAAGGAACCTCATTGGAGCAGTAGCGCTTTTGTCGACCCCTTAAACAACCACTGTGGAAAGGTCATCCAGGTGGAAGGGTCACAAGAATTCAAGTGGCTGGACGAAGACTGCCATAAAGAGCTGCCTTTCATCTGCCAAGGTAAGCTGCTGTTTGGTTTTCCACCCATTCTGACATGAGATTGTTGACAAAGTTTATCTTTCTTTTCATTTTCAGATCTGAATGGAAAGGCCTCGCCATAATCACTTCACTTCTCGAGACCAAGGTATATCAGCTGAAAACTGTTATGTTTTCCAGGTTGACAGCAGAAATGTTCTTCTCACTGTATGTTCTGTCTCGTTCATGTCCTGTAGATCCATCATGACGACTGCATGGGGCTCTGGAAACTACAAGAGTCACTCCACTATTCTTCTTGATATTATGTTTGAATGAATATTGGTGTTGTGGGCTACTGATTTTTGCATTCACTGTTCATTGCACTTGTACTCACTTTCCAATAACTGACTGATTTGCTTTCTGTGGGAAATATTTACTCATATTTTACTCAACTGAATGTATCAGTAATCAGTGTATAATCAGAATCAAGAAACACATAATCATTGTTAATCATGTTTTGTTGTTACCCTAGTTAGGAGCTAAAATGATGGTGTATGCCTTCACCATCTGTGCTCAAGTTGGTGTGTTTGCACTCAGGTGATGTCATGACCTCATTCATGAGGTTTACTGTCAATCAACAAAGTTAGATTCCTCTCATCACTTCTCACATTTCACAAATCTCTCAACGGTTCAATTCTTCTTTTGTCAAAAGTCTCAACATATCTCAATCAAAAATTACTAATGGATGAAGAAGTATCCATTGTAAAAAAAAAATATTTTCATTAGTGCTCATTGTAAGGTGGATAATCATGATGTAGTATTGCATGAACTTTACTTGAATTCCTAGAAAATATTTTAACTTTACTGATATGACAGTAACATTACTTTATTTTTCCGAAAATGTTTTATTGAGAAAAGACAGCGACACGTAGCACAAGTAGAAAACCAGTTGGTATTTTCTTTTTTTTTTTTTTTTTACAAAGTTATCAGTCTGTACCCACTTTCCTCAATCCTGTTTCATGAGTAGAGAGTAGCCAGAGGGATAATGGGAGAGAAGAAATGTGTGGTAATAACTGCTAAATGAGAGATTTTTTTTTCAATTAAATGAAATTAAATCATCATGGAAAGACTAGTAATAAAAGTGATATGATTAACAATATAAATAAACATCACACACTGTGATCACTCATGATTTCTATGACCAAATATAATGAAGCAGACTGTACTTCTCTTTAACCAATCATGTCCATATAAAGTCACTGATTTACCTGAAGCAATCTATCCCAGACTCACTCATCTTCCTGGGTCATTTCTCTGAGGCACTCCTTCAAGTTTTCCACACGGTCTTCTTTAGCAGTCTGTATCGTCTGCTCCAGCAGGCGCTGCACCTCATCCAGACCAGCCACCTTGGGTGTGCTGTGGCGGTAGAGTAGCCCACGGAGCTGATTGTCGTGGCAGTCCCGGGAAAGCATGCCGCACAGAAAGCGCAGGAACATGTCATAGTGGCCCAGCGGGGAGCCGAGGGTTCGTGCCAAGGCACACTGGACCAGGCCTGCTGCTGACTTGGTCTGATCCTTTGGTGTGAAGATCTTGGGCTTGTGCACCAGTGCAGAGTCCAGAACGTTCTTGGACTCTGTGCGAAACATCGTGAAGACGTACAGAGCGGCCATGAACTCCTGGAGGAGACGAGACATGGGGTGATTGTTCAGGTGAATCTTTAGGGGGGTTCTGGTGGCCAGGCAGTCTAAGGACATGTCTCTGACAGATGGGCTTGGACGAGCAGCATGTTATTGTTTTAAGTCCTAATCTTGTGTCTTGTGTTAATTGTTCTTTTATCTCTTGATGTTTGCTTTATAGGCATTAATTTTTTAATATATATATATATATATATATCAAAATGTACCTTTTTTCTTGTTCAGAGGTTTAAGACTTTTGAACTCATCTTGGTGTACACATACAATTATCTGATCATATCTTATTTGAGGCAACTAGCTAAACTCGCCCACTTATATATGAAACCTCTTTTGACATTAAACCCACGGGTCAACTACTTTGAAAAACACTGAATGATAACTGCAACATGGTTTTCAGAATATTATATTATGGTACAGCACCGTAAAAAAAAGGTTTCATGGAAAAAATTACATGATGAGTAGATGACGATGGAGTTTTACCTGAAAGGTGAAGTGTATAAAGCAGAACTTCCTCTTTGTGTCCGAGGCTGCAGCAGGGAGCTCAGTGCACATGCCGGAGAACACCGTCACCTCAGTCAACTTCAGACCGTATTCCTTCACGTCCTCTTCAAAGAACACGCTGGTATTCCTCTCCAGCATTTTAAAGGCCATCTTCCCCATCTTTGTCAGCAGGTGTCTCTCATCACCGGACCATTTCTGAGTGGAAAGGGGACATTGAGATGACAAGTTCTAACATTGAAGTGAAGCTGTTAATTAGCTTTTCTTGAAAAAATAAAAAAAAATAAAAATAAAAAAGGCTCAGGCTTTCTGAGAGATTAAGTCAGTTAGGTTCAATGTTTGGTTTTGTTGATACTCTCATACAGGTGTTCAAAGATAGGGTTAACTGTTGATGCAGCAGTTTGGATTACTGTTGGTAAGCAGAATATTGCAATGTGAGGCAGGGCAAAAAACACAGACACCATAATATAATACAGTCAGCAAGTATTGAAACTTATAAGCTTCATAAAAATAATAATGTTAGGTCAACTGTATCGGACTGCATTGGATGGCACAGGTGTCCATAATACTGTAATATTAAAATTTTAATGATAAATAAATATCTGCTTGTAAAAAATGACTAATGGGAAGTGAAAGGCTGATACAGACGACTGGACCAGTAGCATTTTGGGGGTTTATTTTTGTACTTGTGACTCTAGCCACTAGGAACTATGACATACCTTAGAAAATAAAAGAATAAAAGAAAATAAATTTGCATGTTACCAGATCATTATCCTGCTTGCCATAGTAGAACCCCAGCCTTCGATTGGTCTGGATGATCATAATGCTGACGTAGAAGGGCGTCAGCCTTGGGGGGTGCACTCCATAGCCCTGATAACGGAAGCAGCGCTCGAAAACTGTGGCCAACATCCAGCAGACAAAGGGTTGTCGGGCAAGCATATGGAGTGTCGGTAGTCGCTTGTAATGGGCCACGATTTTCGCTGCCAGCGCTGCATCGCAATAGCGCTTGGTCAGGAATTGATCTTTCATCTCATCACTAGAGAAAAGTGGGGACAAAAAAAATAAAACTGGATTAAAATAGGCCAGAACGAAAAAGGTTAAAATTGATTTTAACTGGGTGAACCATTTCAGTTCTATTACTGCACATGCACACAAAGTAGACACACAAGGCCAAAAACAGCAGCAAATACAATGAGATTTCCAAAAGCTAAAATTTGAACGGATGCACACAAAACCAACATACAGTGCATGTACACACACACACCTAAAGCCCTGCACTTCTGTGACGATGTCAACAAATTCAGATGGTATTTGTGAGACAGCCCCCCGTCTCCCCAGGATCCAGACGCGGGCACCACGAAGCACAGTGCCTCGGATGATATTTACAATCAGGACGTCTGGATGTGCTTTGGTGTAATTGTCATTTATTACTGGGGCATTCTGAAGAGAGAGAAAAGAGAAAAATAGACAAATATATCAGTTTCTGCTCATCATTTGTTAGCTTAGGAACAAGTAGGCCTAAGTAGCCTTTAAAACATGCCGGGATTGCTCACTTGACCAGTGCTTATCTCCAAAAACTGGTAATTGATACAAAGACTTTAAACTTTATATTGTTGGTTATCTTTACAATTCAGGTTCTAGGTTGTTTTTTACAGTTACAAATGTGAATGGATCTCAGGTGTATGTGTGCAGATGGGATACCTCCCAGTCCAGAGGAGCTTGGTAACAATCCATTGAGTCCAGTATGAATAGAAATCTACAGTCCTCTTGCTCCAGGTATTTCATGTCTTTGCATTCAGGGTAATAGTATTCTATCACGTCCATGATGGACATCTTCTCTGAAAGAGCGCCATAGCTTCGCAGGTACCAGAAACATCGGCATGAGACTTTGATGATGAACTGCAGATCCTGAGCAAAAAAATGGAGAGGAAAATTATGTCAGTTTCAAAAAACAAGTGAAAAAACAAAAACTTAAAAGGACCCATCATGCTTTCCCTTATTTTCTGTCACATATACAGTTAATATAATGTTACGCTGTCGGACATTCATATTGAACATGGCTTAAGTTTCAAATACTGAGGTTAATGTTTGCAAAATTAATCTCTCAATATGGTCATCTGCCTCAGGCACGCTACTGCAAATGTTTACATTACATACACTGATAAACAAAGAACATTAAAACAACAATGAAAGCAGCTATACATTTTGACACAGATGTTATCAGTACGCACCTTAGTTTTAGATTTTGAAGGCTTTTAACACTTTTTTTAATTGTTTAAAGTTGTGAATTCTTGTGTGAGATGGTTTTTTCTGGCAGCTAGCAAGTTTAGAAGTTAAAAAAATGAACGCAGATCCAAGAATTTCATAAATCATATTTATTTCATATAAATAGATCCTTTAAAAATTATTTTTTACCCCAGAAATGGAACTAAAGTGTCAATAAGTTATAACTTTACGTTTTCTTTTTGCAGGACATGATTTGCCTCAATTCTTAAGAATGGGTGAGCTACATGCTAACGTCAGGAAAACAGGTAATCCTGGTTGGCGATGTTGTTAATTTATTCTAGGCCTGTCATGATAACTACTTTTGTTGGATGATATATTGTCCCAGAGATGATTGCGATTACAGTATTACTGTCATTTTGAGACCATTTTATGCCACTGACATAATGATAATATAATGGCATAATAACTTAAACTTTTACTTTTTAAAAATATTTAGACAGTGGAATATTACAAATATATATTTAACATATTTTTAATTAACACCTGTTAACACATACAAGAATGTACACGTAAAATTATAGGAACTTTATTCACCTTATTCCTAGCTCCCATGATACCTTGCGTGAACTATGGGCACAACATCCGCCATTAAACAGACACCGGCGATTTCCAGTGGTATCAGTTTGCTAACGGTACTCAACTCTTCTTTCCAAGAGCAACTGGGAGATAAAACGTGGAACACAACCTCTGTTATAGCTCAAACTGGATTATTTGATCACACCTCTGCCATCTCTGACAGCCATCTCAAAGCAACCGAGCACGCTAGCAATTAGCTTGCCTTGCTCCTTTAAAATGTTGTTAACTCTAACATGGCCTGAGCTAGCTTAAGGTAAACATCTGCTCCTCTGATTTCTGACGACTTATTAAGAGATACTAACACATTTGCCAAACATTAAACATAATTCAGTAGTAACTGTAGCTTAATGTAAAGTGAATAAATATGATGTTTCCCAGCTAATCCTTCACTCATCTGCGTTAATGACGCAGTTTACGGGTTTTTTTAACTTCTGATTTATTAAAAACCGTTCTGAGCAAAGCATGGTGCTGAATTTAGCAGCAGACTTCAGTTATCGTCATATAAAGTAGGACTAAAAGAAATAACTTTTAGCATTCTTTTTTTATATGATATAAAGGAAGTACAGTAAATCAGTAACACATTCTCAGCCCCAATGACTAAATACATATTTCAAGGTATGTTGCTGAGTTTATTTTATAACGAGCAATTTTCTAATGTAGGTTGAGAATGAAGTAAGACGGGGAAAGACGGTGATA